TTTCTAAAATGCCTGGTTCATCCACCCCCAAACTCTCCACTGACATTCACCAGGTGCCACACAAGAGGGCCGGCTTGTGAGTGACAGATGTGAAGTGGCTGCATGGCTCAAAACAGCTGTGCACGGAGGCTCATGAGAAAGTTGCTCCATAGCTCTGAGCCTCCATTGCCACCTCTGGGAAAAACGGAACTGCCCTTGTATCATGGGGTTTTTAACAGACTCAGCAAAGCAGGGGATTTACCTCATTAGGAAACCAGGATAAAAGATATTAAAAAGACTGTTTCTATTGCAGTGAAACCCTGCAGTCTCAGTGTGCATCCCAGGCTGGCCTCGAACTCCTCACCCTCCTGCCTCAGTCTCCCCTCCTAAGTACTAGGGTTACAGGTGTGTGCCACTAGACTAACTCGATGTTATTTTCAGACTTTTGGTGTAACGTGCTTTGCTGTCCTGTGTGGCCATCATCCAGCCACATTCAGTTTATGGGAAGTCCCTCTTCCTAGCTAACTCAAGGCTTTCATTTTGAGCTTGTGTTTGTCTCAGGTGTGAAGTCAGTAGACAGGAAGGAGAGATGGTGATTTTAAATGCCCCCCTCCACCAGTCTCCAGCTTGGTTGAACCAGGGTTTAGACCTACTACTTGATCGCCAAGGCCAGATCTGTTTTTGCTGAACGACATACCCTGGCCAAGTGAAGATGTCAAATAACATGTTCCGTTTTCAAAGTGGCACAGTGTGTCCAGTATCGGAGGACCATGCAGGGCGAAGGTTTGCTCTGCCTCTGCGTTTGTGTGAGACAGTCAGACCAAGATTGATGAGCCCAGAACCAGCAGGAATTCCCTCATCCCAGTGGGAGTCACCCTATAAGGCCAGTCAGGACGCTAGCGAGCATGCCTCTAAGATTAGTATTTTCCACTTGGGACCTCTGGGGGGACAACGACTCTAAGCAGCCATTGCTGTGTTTGTACCACATCAGCACAGGGAGCCAAGAATGTGTGTGGCTGGCTGCAGCATCCTCCCAGGACAAGCTGAGAGACATGGTGGTGGTGATGCCACCTTTGCCATGCTAGGCAAGTGCTCTGCTACTGAGCCCCCACCCCCAGGCCCCGGGTCGGGGTACATTTTAGGCTCTTTGCAGCTCTATTCCATTAGCCTGCCAGTTCCTCCAAAGCTGCCCTTCCATGGTCCCCCACGCTGCTGTTTCGTGGTCTTCAGGAAGCACTTGTCAACCAAGGAGCAGGCAGCTTCTGCCACCCATGTCTTCAGAGCAGATTATACTACTAAAGCGTGGCAGAGCAGAGGTGGCCCCGTGGCACATGTGGGTTGGTGAACTAAGGAGTCTGCAGTCCTAGGAGGAGACTAGGAATGCCACAAGGTCAGGAAAGTGGCTGACTCTGTTTTTGTTTTGCTTGTTTCTTGAGGACACCATTGTTACCCCGAGTTTTGGTCTCACAGACCAGAACCTGCCGGGGAAGCTGGACACCTGATACCCGTCACCAGGTTTAGCTAGTGGCAGCGCTCACAGATGTGCAGTCCCAGTAGACATGACCTGGGCCTTTGCGTTCTCCCAAGCTTATCAGGTGGCTCTGCCCAGCCAGGGTCCATTGCCACAGAGGTAGGGTGATGGAGTACACGTCTGCCACTGGCGGGGGCCTAGGAACTGACCCATTCCAGCCCCGTACATATGGGTGGCCTGGCCCCTGTCATCCACAGCTTTCACTGGACTCGAAACAGCAGATTCTTCAACATTGCCAAGGACCCCCGGGTGTCTATGAGGAGGCGGTCTGGGACCTTGGTGATTGACTTCCGCAGTGGCGGCCGACCTGAGGAGTACGAAGGGGAGTACCAGTGCTTCGCCCGGAACAAATTCGGCACGGCGCTTAGCAACCGGATCCGCCTGCAGGTGTCCAGTGAGTGCCAGGGACAGGGCCGCTGCTGGCTCCCTGGTGGGTGGGTGGGGCATGCAAGAGGCCCTGCCCTCCATGGGTCTCTCCCATTCCAGAAAGATTCCTTCCAGAAAGGAAGGAAACCTTCCAGACTAGCGGGTACAACCTCACCAGCTACTCTGTGCACTGGAGAAGGGGAGCGGGGAGGCCGGCTGGAGATGAGCGTCCACTGTCACAAAAACCGCCTCCCTCCTTTCAGGAGCCGCCCTCCACGTCCTCTCTCTTGCCTCTCCTATTCTCCCACTTCCCCTTCTCTTGAGCCTGCCCAGTTCTGGCCATCAGCTTCAGTTCCCCATCCTGTTTCTCTTTAGAATCTCCTCTGTGGCCCAAGGAAAACCTAGATCCCGTCGTGGTTCAAGAGGGCGCCCCTTTGACGCTGCAGTGCAACCCCCCACCCGGCCTCCCGTCCCCAGTCATCTTCTGGATGAGCAGCTGTGAGTGGGGAAGCCTGGCCTCCCTGAGAGCCCAGCACCAGGGGGTGCGGTGGGTGGGTTGAGTGGAAGAGGTGACGGTCACTGTTAACTGTGAACTCGTCAGGCTCTAGAATCTTCGTAGAGACAAATCCCTGTCTGTAAGGGGTTCCTAGGTAGGTTAATTAAAACAAACAGACAAGGCCACCCTAAATATGGATGGTGACCATTTCATGGGCTGGGATCCTGGATTAAATAAAAAGGAGATATCAAGCCAAGCAGTAGCCTGCACCTCTGTTCCCTAGCTGTGGATGCCGTGTAACCAACCGCTTCATGCTTCTGCCACCATGTCCTCCCACCACGGCAGACTACCCCTGAATCTTTAAGCCAGAACCAAAACACAATAAAAGCAACAGCAACAAAACCCTGCTTTAAGTTGCCTCGGTTAAGAGAGATGCTGCAGAAGTGTGGAAACCTAACACAAGGGCTCAGGGGGTAGGGAGACCAACTTGTAAGAAGCAGATGTGAAGTGGTCACATGGTGCAAAGCAGCTGTGCACAGAGGCTGCTGATGCCGTGCGGTCACGAGCAAGTTGCTTCAGAGCTCTGAGCCTCTAGCTGGGTGAAGGTGGCGCACGCCTTTGATCCCAGCACTCGGGAGGCAGAGGCAGGCGGATCTCTGTGAGTTTGAGGCCAGCCTGGTCTACAGAGTGAGTTCCAGGATAGCCAGGACCATCAAAAATGAAAACAAACCAAAAAAAGTAAAAGAAATTAAAAAAAAAAAAGCTCTGAGCCTTTGTTCCCTCTTCTTAAAATAAAACAGAACTGTGTGCAGTGGGAATGGGGTTGTGTGCAGGACCGGGGCGGGGATGTAAAGGTAAGGAGGGTTCGGAGCCGGACCACACACGCAGGACGTCCTTGGTAACTGCACTGAAGAAGATGAAGAATAACGAAGGAGGAGAAAGCAAATGTTTCCCAGAGGATAACCGGTGGTAACAGTCTGGCTTCATCCTTGTCTGTCTGGCTTTACTCAAGTCTCCACACTTAAGCCCAGAGTGACGCTTTCCATAGGTGCTGAAGGGAGACAGAGTTTGGAGTAGGAGACCAGGTAACAATACCCAGAGATTGTTCTGGATCAGCTGTGGACCTATGCTCACCTAGCTCTGGAAAGGCTTCGGTTTTTTTCCCGTTTCTCAGTTAAGATAATAGGGAACACTAATAAAGAAGAGATGGACATTCCCTGCCCTCCACCCTGGCCCTGCTCCCGCTCTCTGGCTCTCACTCCCTGCCTATCTCCCTGATTTCCCGCCCCTCTCCCTTCACACCCACCTGGCTGCCTCTGCTCTCCCTCGTTCTGCCCCTCCCTTCCCTGTCCATCCATCCACCGTCTAGCCACCCATCCATTATCCTGTAAATCTGTCTACCTACCTGCCTGCCATCCATCAATCCATCTACCCTTGATTGCCCAGCCTGTTTCCAGTGAGGCTGTGCGGGGAGGCGGTACTGGGAGCCATTTCACAGGAGAGGATGACTTTGTACACAGACCCTGTCGCTCTCCTTTCTTACCTATGTGGGGAACGATGCCTGACTGTCGCTGGTGGGTTAGTTCAGCATCTCTCACCTATAACAGCATATTTATTACTGAGTTAGGGCCAGGCCCCTCTCGAGCAGATCTCATGGCCCTGTTTTTCCTGTCCTCACTATTATCTCCCCAGCCCAGAACCCTGTACGCTTTTCCCTGCTTCACAATCTCATTCATAGCAGGTCCCCTTCGGCCTTAAACACAGCATCAGGTAGTGTTGATTGCCTGCTTTCTCCGGCTCCTCTCTTGCTTCAGGACAAGCCTAGACTCCTTTACTTGGGGAGGTCTCCTTCATGACCCAGTCCTTCTCCAACCCTTCCCTCTCACCCCTATGCGCCTCAGCTCCAGGCTAGGCCATGACATTTCAGCCTCAGACACTCTCATCTAGCTTCTCAGTACCTTGCAGCATCTCTGTATTCTGTGCCTGACACAGACATGCAGAACCTCAGGCTTCTGTCAGGACTCCCAAGAGGACAGGGTCCCTTCTGCTGCCCTGCCCCGCCCTCCCTCCCCAGTGCCCTGTCCTCTCCACACCACACCTCCCCTTCCTCCTCTCCTGCTATATCAAGGGTTTGTCTTTCACCAACTCCCAGAACATGTGACCTGACACACAGTTGGCCTTCAGCAGATATTTGAGTAGTGATTCAAAGGACCGAGCACCTGTTGTGGGACAGTTGGTGTCACTGACGTGAAGAGGCAGTTGTGAGAACAGGGAGTAGATTAGCCTGGAGTGTAGGTCACTCCTGAGGGCTTGGAGAGATGACCCTGTATATCAACACTAGTTCCCGAAAAATATAGTGATGTCACATCCTCGGCCACCCAGGATGTCATTTATTCTCAACCCACTTCACTGTCTCTAAAACCAGAAGACCTCTTAAAATCGGCAGTGCACACCATCAGAAGGCATACATCTGACAACTATAATTGAGAATCACTATCTTTATCAACAAAATAAAAGTCCATACTGTAATTGATGATTACAGATTTTGATTAAATGCAACTAGGCCAAGATCAGATATCCATAACACACTTTTGGGAGCTCTTGTGTGCTCTGGCCCCAGCAGGGTACCGAATGAAGATGAAGGAGCACTGGCTGTTGCCCGCACAGTGTTCCCTGTGTGTACACTTGGCTCCTGACTCGAGGAGCAAACACAGGCTTATGTTCTCTCCCTCGGGCCCTGAGGTCAGTCAGGCTGTGGCATGAACTGAGATCAGAAAAGTGTGGTCACAGAGCCTGGGCAAAGGAAACATGGCCATCTGGGTTTAAATGTACCCCTGGGATGCATTCAGCCCTTCCCTTTGCTATAAAGAGTGGACTCACCCTGCTGCAGGATTGGGAGGAGCTGACTAAATGGTAGCAAGCTCCAGTTGGCATCTGGTCTCCTAAATGGAAGAGCTGATTATCACTGAGTCGGTCTGCTAACCTCCGGTCATCCCTCTGCCTCCCCACAGCCATGGAGCCCATCACGCAGGACAAGCGAGTCTCCCAGGGCCACAATGGGGACCTCTACTTCTCCAACGTCATGCTGCAGGACATGCAGACCGACTACAGCTGCAATGCACGTTTCCACTTTACCCACACCATCCAGCAGAAGAATCCTTTCACCCTCAAGGTCCTTACCAGTAAGTGTGGGCCCTGCTCGGGGCTGGGGGCCATGGGAAGCAGGCCCTAAGCCCACACACACATCGTGCATCCCCGCGGCTCACCCAGAATTCCTCTCTGGCTCATTGTGCCTGAGCCACTGCCACTGCCTTATGCAGCATCTCTGGATGCAGAAGTCTTGAGTCAGACTTGGTCCTGTGCTAAACCGGTGCTTGCACTTCGGTTGGAATCAGAGTCACATACTGAGGTCCAGCCCTTGGAGATAAGGTCTTACCTTGGCAGGCTTGGGCTGTCTGGGGCCCTCAGCTCTCATACAAATGCTCCTGGAGTTTGAGATGACTGAGTGACCATCAAATCAGGATCCCTATGGTACAGCCAGCTTATTCCTTTTATTTCTAGTCATTGGTTGTGTGCTTCCAGAAAGCCAGTGCATAAGATGCCAGGGCCAGCGGACACACAGAACAAATTGTGTTTTGTTCTATAATGTAATGGATGTGTTGTATCATAAACTACAGGTTTATGTTTTGCTTTGTAGGGGTTAGTTTTTATCCCCTGATTGTTTTGGGCTAATACTGAAGCAAATTAGCATTCCCTGACCCACTACAGTGGTGATGGCTCTCTCCAGAGGCATGCAAGCACAAGTCAGGCAGAACTTTCAGCTACAGTCCTCAGCTTGTTCAAGATGTCGCCTGGGTTTGTTTACACCATGGACATGTGACATGGCTATAAGAGGACCTTCCAAAGAGTCTAATCTGTCTGACTCATGTTATGAATGTCATTGTCAGTGCTGTGCTATGGATGGTGAGGAAAGGGAGGATGCCATGCCAGGAGGACCACAGGTCACACTGAGGTGAGCCTTGGCGTCCCAAGGCCTACCTCCACGGACTGATGCTGCCCTGCACAGTTCCCTGGGGAAAGCCTGGGTAGGCTTGTTATGCACCAACAGGGACCTCTTTGGTCTATCCCTTTCCTCAGGGACGAAACATCCGCCCATACAGAGAAGCTACCTCTTGTTTGCTTCTCATGGTTTCTTCCTCTTTTTTTTTTTTTTCGTTTTCTTCTTTTCATTTCCTTTCTCTGTTCTTTCTCCCTCTTCCTAGCTTTCTTTTCTTGCTAGTCTTTCCCTCTGAACACTCCTCTGGTCACCTGCCTCCTGGTCTGTCATATGCCTTTGCCTGTGGGTTTTGTCGCCCATGACAAGACAGACAGCCCACGGGATTACTCAAACCCCAGCAAGGAGCCCTGCCTGCTGCTGCAGAGGCACTGGCTTTCTGACTCCTGAACCAACCCCAGGACACCCCTGGGACAGGAAGTTGATTCGCCTACTGAGCTTCCCCAGGTGACTTCAGGTGGCTCTCTGCCAGCTGGCTGAATGAAGGAGGACAGGGTGGTCTGCCCAGGTCCTCTGAGTACCATCAGCCAGGACAGGACTTGCAATGCGGAAGAACAGTGCTATCAAGAGGATAACCCTGAACAGCCTTCACGTCCACCTAGAAAGGGTATCCTGGAGTCAGCCTGCCACTCCAGGGCCTGAGCCAGGCTTCATGCTGTTCTGGGCAGAGTCTGGGAGCAGATTCAGGTTAAATGACACTTAGCCGTGGAACTTTCCAGAACCAATCTTTTCTCTAGAGGACAGAGGGATGCTTGCTTCTGCCTCATCCTGAGTTGCCTGTCCCATTGGAAGCTCTCCCCTCCCAATGTCAAGAACCCCTCTTGGTGACCCGAACAGAGTCCTGCCAGCTTCCTGGAGTCCTCCCAAGAGCAACTTTGGCTGGAAGCAAGTCCTGGGCATCTGAGCCAGCCTAGCATTGGGCACAGTTTCTTAAAATAGCACAGTTGGGCTCTGTTGACTTTCCTGTCTAGAAAGGGCACAGGCTTTCTCTGTCGTCTTCAGAATCAGGTCTGGATGGGAAGCCAAGAAGTCTGCCTGTATTCTGCCTTTGCGGATAAAATTGGTCTCCTTACACTGTTTTTGTTAGTTGCATCCAATGAAGGAGAGAAAGATATACACATATATTTACATGTATATGTATATAACAAAATATCAAGCTACTTAAAAATCATTTTTAACTTGTTTTAGGATGAAGTAAAAGATAAGCAGGAGAATCAAGTCAATAAAGAAACATCTGTGACACCTTTGTTCATAGCGTGACAGGCACAAGGTCTCCATTGCTACTGTAAGAGGTGCCCTGGTTAGAGAGGAGGGGATCTGCCAAGGCGGACAATGGAGTGCACTCTACACTTCCTGCTAGCATTCTGATGGCATTTCAAGGACAGAATCTCCCTGGATCTCTTCCACGTGTTGCCAAAGCTACAGTGAGGATGGATATGCACATTGGTCTTTTCGTAGAAGAGGGAATGCCCCTGTTCCACCTGGTACCATGGGAGTGAAAGAGAAGGGTCCCCTTTAGCTGAGCCTGGCACTTGGCTCCCCTGGGGGACGGACATCCTCTCCCAAGCATTGCCTCAGCACCCCCTCCCTGGTACCACCTATCCCTTTCATCCCACTGTGAATCAGTTCCCACCTTCCAACCAGGTCCATCCAAACTGACTCCTAAAGCAGCTAGGTCTGTCTCAACCAGCCGCACAGTGAGAAGCAGTTCTGAGAGTGAAAATCTTTCCATTGCGGCCTGTAAAACAGTTTGGGGGTGCAGTTCAATGCCAGGCCCAGGAAAGAATTCGCGTAACCTTTTATAATTACTTGTGATGGGATTTGGTCTGTCTTTAAGAATGCAAATATTCTAACACAGCCACTGGCTTCCCCTGGAACCTGGACTGTGTCCTGGTTTCTCAGAGGTTGTCTGTTTGGCTTCTCTCCCCTGTGGGCACTGTCAGAATTTGAACCCTCAAGAGTATTATGGGTAGAGAGTAAAAAGCTCCCTAAGAAGAGTGGTATGTTTATGTGTCCTGTTCTAGAATGTCTTCACAGAAGACTAGAGGACCCAGGGCTTCAGCCACCTTACACTGGAATGGCAGCCAGTGAACTTGCTTTATAAAGAAAGTCCTGGGGCTGGAGAGATGGCTCAGAGGTTAAGAGCATTGCCTGCTCTTCCAAAGGTCCTGAGTTCAATTCCCAGCAACCACATGGTGGCTCACAACCATCTGTAATGAGGTCTGGTGCCCTCTTCTGGCCAGCAGGCATACACACAGACAGACTATTGTATACGTAATAAATAAATAAATATGAAAGAAAGAAAGAAAGAAAGAAAGAAAGAAAGAAAGAAAGAAAGAAAGAAAGAAAGAAAGAAAGAAAGTCCCTGTACCCATGCTGTCCAGAGAGCTCCAGGGCTCAGGTGTAGGATTCATCCCCTCATCTTGCTGCCCTGACCCAAACTCCCCTGCAGAAACCTCCACCACGGTCTCCCAGAAGATGTCTGTCAGGGTCTACAGTGATACCCGCCTGGTCAGATTAGAATGTTCTTGCTGTTGGGCCCTGCAAAGGGCCCCCTCTCTCCCTCTCTGCTGATGACTATCTTACTGTATGCGTGCACACATTGCACACGTGTGTATATGCACATACACACACACACACACACACACACACACACACACACCTACCCCTGCAGCCTCCCTACTGCCAGGCAGGGCTTTGCTGTCCTCTGCAGGACTCACTAACACTCCTTTTTCTCTAGCTGGTCAGACTTGGAGTCCTGGGGCCTGGGGAGAAGCTGGTTCAGAACCAGCTACAAGATGCTCCAAGACACTAATCCTTCCTTACCTCATTTGTTCAAAATATAGATGGACCAAGCCGAGCTCAAGCCTCATTTCTTTACTTTCAACATAATCTCGTTTTATTGTTGCCTTCTTTCGCAGGAGTTAACCGTTTTTGTTCCCTTTCGAGCTGTTTTGTGTTGGCTGTTCTCTCCCGAGCGCATTCCTTTGCCACGTGCACCGTTTCCTTTCGCAAAACCCCACTGGCGCTCTCCTCGGTTGCGATGTGGCTTTGCATTTCTGTTCTCATCCTCCTCGTGTTTGCGCCCGCCGCTGCTCCGGGCCTCCCTGTTTGCTCACCCTCTTTTGTTTATTGCAGACAACCCTTATAATGACTCGTCCTTAAGAAACCACCCCGACATGTATAGTGGTGAGTCCGGGGAGGAACTTCTCCTGTCCTAATCCACTTTGGCTAACTCGACTGATACCGTGACATTAACTCCTGCGGGGTGGCAGAGTGGACAGCTGGTCAGGCAAGGTGCCAAAGGGACGCCTCAGGACACTGCCCACCCGGAGCAAGGTGGCCAGTGCGGGTCTTTGGGGTGGCTCATATTGGAAGTGTTTCCTCCTTGCTCCTCCAATATGCGAGTCTCCATTTGCTAAACTCTCAGAAGGTGGTTTTCAGCAGGGTAGAGCTCCACAGAGGACTCAGCAGAGAGACTCAAAGATCAGTGGCAGATGGATGGAAAATGGACTTTGGCCTCACTCTGTCCAAATTATCTGAGAAACGACTTGAGAGATCAGAGATGTCTGTCGGCTTACGGTTTCAGAGCGGTTTTGGTCCTTCACGGCAAGGACGCAGGCGCGGTAGCTTCATTCACGATTGGCAGGAGTGTATGCAGAGGCCGTTCACATCACCGCAGACTAGGAAGCGGAGAGCAAGGCAATAACCAAGGGTCAGATGTCCTTCAAAGGCCCACCTCTAGCTACCTGCTTTTATCAGCTGGACCTCACCTTCTGGACATTACACCTGCCCTTAAAGCAGCATCGTGAGCTGAGGAACAGACATGAACCGGGGCAGGGGTCCCTTTCAGATTCAACCGTAACAAAGGATATTTGATAGTAGGTGAGAGTCCCCAGTTAGGAGGAAACCAGAAATCCAGTTCCTATTGGTAGTAGAAAGAGCCCAGGCAGCTTTAACTGATTAACTCTTCAGTGTCTGGGTTTGAATTGCCTGCTCCGTACCTGCATTTTACTTCCTGAGAGTATTGCCTCCACCCGGTCCCATCTCTCTTTAAAGTTTTTCTAGCAGACTGGAGAGATGGCTCATGCAGTTAAGAGCTCTGACCGCTCTTGCAGAGGCTTTAGGTTTAATTCCCAGCACCTACATGGTGACTTAGAGTCATCTGTAGCCCCAGTTTCAGGAAATCTGACACCCTCTTCTGGCCTCCACAGGTATCAGCACACGGTGCAGGTAAAATATGCATATACCTGAAACAAAAATAAGTAAATCTTCTTTTTAAGAAAGATGTACAGTTTCCCCCAGAAAATGGTATTAAGAATTCAGGCAGAGTTCTCTTCCCAGGCTGTGAATGAAGTTGTCCTTCCCTGTCCCTGACGCCTGCGCCTTTCCGCCTTTCTGGCTGCTCATGCAAATCCAGTGGCCACCAGCCACGTCTGCAAGTCATGGAATGATCACAGTGAGTTGCATTCTAACAAACCATAGCTGGCTGTTAGGTCTGGTTAATAGGGAAACTGGCTATTCCCACACCTGAGGCTCCCCTCACTGTGGCTTCAGAATGCCTGGTGTTCCTTCAGCAACCATAGGATTCAGCATTTGCTGGGTTTGGCAAGGCAGCTGGTCCCATCATCAGCTATGCTTCTGAGCTGAGTTCAGGTCCCCAAGGGGATTGTTGGGAGCTCAAATAGGTAGGAATGTCTTTGCTGAGATTGCTAATATAAGCAACCATCAGTGTCTGGAGTGGAGGATGGGACAAGAAATGAGAGCCAAGGGAAAACAAAGGTTCCAACTTGGCACCAGCAGCGAAAACCATGCTGAGAATCTGCCAAAGAGATTTACTGCCCAAGGAAGCTGGGGCCTTTGTTAAGTTCTGGGGATTATTTGCTTTCAAGATAATGGGGCTAGCCACTGTTGTGTCAAAAGTCCCACAGCACTGCTGTGGAATGTGCCTTGTTCCAAAATGAACCCCAAATATCTATTGTAGGAAGTGTTCTGAAATCCAGAACGTGTCTGAGCACTTAGAGGTCACCTGGCTCAATTTCTTGGCTTTATATAAAGCAGGGAAATGTTAGTTGTTTGATCCATGGGAGATAACTGGGTGACTTCAGCCATATATAACCCAGCTTATCTCCAGAGGTCAGTATTTCTTTTAAGAAGAAAATAAGTGAGATTTGTGAGAATCATTCAGGACTGTGAAAGCTACAGAGCTCATATTGAGACTGAGCCCTGAACCCTCAGTCCACAGCAGGACATGGCTGCCATAGCCGGAAGCTGCTGGGAAGGACGTAACATTAAAACAAGGCACATATTAAACAAAGAATAACCAAGCTGATGGTTTTAGAAAGAAGAAAAAAAATAAGAAAGCAAGGAAGTTCTTCCTGAGTGCACAGAGCTGCCAGCCAAGGAACATTGTCAGTAACAAATGTCCGGTATACACCTCTGCTTGGCTCTGAAATATGACATCTCTTTTCTAGCAGCAGGGCCACCCAGTCCTTTTGTTTTGTTCTGCACAGAGTTGGCATCCACTGGAGATGGGCCAGAGGCCACCTCCCCTCTGATTGGCAGAGAAAGCCACTTTGGTTTCATCCAGGCCAGAAACCAGGAGGTTTATAGTGTGCACATGAAGGTGCACCTGCCTCAAGTCAAATCCAGTGTCTAGCACACACCACCGAGTAACACTGGGCAAGTCATTTAATGCCTTAGGACTTTGATTTCCTCTTCCACAAACAGGCAGGTGCCTCACTTCAAAGATGTTTGTGAAGGTTTAAGAGAATCGTGTGCCCATAGCCTGCTAAGCTGCAGTACACATTGGCAGTGTTAATATATAACCCATTGTTGGATTTAAAGGAGAAGGTTTATGTGGACTAGATTGTATATAGGCCATCTGTTTCTAAATTAAGGGACATGAAGAGAATTGGGAGAGAAGCCCGAGAGAAAGGCAGGCACAGTTACAGGAGGAGAAGTACTACAGACACACACACACACACACACACAGAGAGAGAGAGAGAGAGAGAGAGAGAGAGAGAGAGAGATTAGAGTAGACTGGAGGAGTGAAAGCTTCCCAGATTGCTAGCTCTGCTAAGAACTGGGTAAAAAGAAAAGCTGCATCTATTGCAGGAAGGATTTGAGTTAAATTTATAGAAGAATTTTCCTAACAGCAAGACATAACAGATGTTTCTAGAGCAAGAGACCCCCCCACACACACACACATACACACACCTACCCAATACCTTTTGCTCAGTCATTCCTAGGCCAGAAAGATAAATGAGGTACCAGGAAACCTGCCTCTCAGGTTTCTGGTTCTCAGTTCTGAGAACTGAAGACAGCGGGGAGGACGGGATGTAGGGCCCAGCTGCCGTAGAGAGCTGCATTTGGCAAAGGTTCCCAGATGCATCTGATGGATTGAACCATTGTTCCGTTGGCAGGCGGCGCTGAGTGAAGGGACCAGCTAAGTTTGTCAGCACTTCTGACCTTTTCTCAATAGAAGACAGCCAGAAACTGTTTCTGATTTGACCCTCAAAACCAATCTGGCTAAAGTGGGGTCATGCCCTGAGGTCCCCTGACCAACCATCTGGCCCTGGAGGTCCGTGACTCCTCTCTGAGCCACAGCTTGCAAGAGCCACCCTTAGGCAGCTCTTCTTGAATCTACGCCAGGTTTGAGCCTGGCTTCTGGATCCTGCAGCTCCTCGGTATCGGGATAGACCCCCAACCTGAAGACTGGAAATGGACAGAAGCAGCCCTGCCTTCAAGTGAAAAGGGCTGTTCTATCTAAAGGAGCATCTTTCACCACACAGAGCTTCCTGCAATAATTATCCTCACTTTTGTAGTTACTGGTTTCTGTGTCTCCTCCAGGGAAAGAAACTAGGCACCCACCCTTCCTCAGGAACAGGGGCTCCCCAAGTCACCAGCCAGGCCCTCATCCTTAAGTGTTCATGCAATCCCTCCTGGCATTTCCTCATAACCTCCCTTCAGCGCCAGCCTTCTCGCTGCTCTGTAAAGCCACTAGCTACCATGTTCCTCCTGCCAGAGTCACACGGCCTAAGAATCCAGTTGAGAGGCCTGGAGCCTCTTCTTTCCCTCCCCAGCTTCTTCCCCTGCTTTACCGGTTGCCAGGTAAAAAAAACGATCCCAGGAGAGCTGGGATCTTAGATGGTGAGAAGCATAAAAAGGACCGGAGCAGTTCACAAGGACAAAATGCCTTTCTGCTTCACCTCTTGGCCTTTGAATTTTGGGTTTCTTTGACTGGGGTTGTTAGAAATCTATTCTGAAATTGCCTGGCACAAATGGGGACAAATGGCATCTTCAGCTTCAGACAGAGTCAACTGAGAGAAACCTCACAGTACAGCTCAGAATCCAAAACAGGGTGAACTTGTGAGCTTGGGCAAGCCTGTTGACATCATAGAAACTCAGTTTCCTCTGCTAAACACACAGAAATGGTCCTGTCAGGATGTGTTGTGAGGCTTCAGCCTGCTGGTGCTGCAGGCCAACCAATCACAGCACTTGGCCCCGATTAGCTCCATACTGAGAGGTGATGGCGCCCTCTGACTGGCAGGGTAATTGTTCCTTTCCTTTGAAGGTGCCTCCTTTCCAGCTGCCGCTTCCTCCCTAAGATGCCTCTGTGGGTTGGTAGCCCACATTCTACAGATGTGGTGCTGTGTAGCTTTTCTCTGGTCATGTTCCAGTGTGCCCTGATACCCGGAGCAGGACTCTGCTAATCTTCCTGCTCCACATCCTTACTGCTTCCCTCGCCCTGGGTTCTGTGCTGCGTGCTATGGAGTGACTTCAGAGTCCGGAGGGTCACAGGCTGGCCCCTTGCAGGTTTATTTTCTTGTGTGGAATGAGTATGATGACTGAGAGGGATCTTTTCCACGTCTTTTGTGGGGTTTGCAATGCTGAACAGACTCACCCACTTGATACGAACCTCCAGCCCTGAAAGCTCCCTAACCTTTGGTGCCCGTGACTGTGTGAGGAGGGTGGGAAGAAGTTGCCGCTTCCTGGATACTGAGAGCTGGGTGCTGCTAGGTCCACAGGTACAGACCATAACCGACTAACCACCTAATGAATTAACCCTGCAGTTGCCACTGCTCTCTGTGTGCGTGCTGGTGTGATATAAGGATAACCACAGTGTTTGGGGGTAAACTGTTGTTTCCTTTTTTGTTTCTTCTCCTTCTTTAACTTGTTTACCCCACAAATGTTTACTGAACACATGCCGTATGTCATGCATTGTAATGTGCCAGGAGCCAGTGTATGTTTTAACCTTTCTTCCCCTGACGAAAAGGTAAAAGACAGGTCAACTCTGTAAGTGTTTCCCAGCGGCTAATGAAGAGAAACTGAACATCCCCCAGGACAGGAGCCTCCCTGATCTAGCCAGACAGCTGCAGATGCAGCCAGCTCCCATAGGAAGCACAAGTTACACAGTTTGGATCCCCACCAGCACCAGTTAAACCCAGAAGAACGCCCTCCTCCCCACTCCAGGCATCTCCAAGGGCTCCTAGCTCCTGGCAGCTCTGCCTTCCCTCTACTTCCCACCTGTCCGACTGAGGCTAAGACCCGTGGCAGCCTCAGCTTCTAGCCATCTTCCCGTCTTCATGTGCCTGTCCGCGGTAGTACCTCCTCCAGTTCCCTTTCGACCTGGGGTTTCTGGTAGACCATCTTTGATTTTTCTTTTACCCATTTCTGTAGAGTTATGCAATGAGTGTAGGAAAGAAGTAAGACCTGGGCAAGGTGAGGGCCACTCTCCACGGGTGCACCCTGATTGGCGTGGCGCCTTCCATTGGGAACAGCCTGATGTCGGCATCAGTGTGTGGACCACCTAGCCTCTAAAACCTCTATGGGAGATTTCTGCCTCTCTCATGTCTGTTCCAGCCTAGTTGACTGTTGATCACCTCCCTTCACCTTGGCTGCCATTCCTCCCACCTACACCCACCCCCGTCTCTCGTGCTGTTAAGAGTTAGGAGGCAAAGTGGCCTTGGCCCCAGAGAGCTCTCCAGTCATCTCTCATTCATTCTCTTCGTGTCTCTGCTACGCCATTAATTCTTCCCGCATGTCCACTGTTTATCTGGGAATTTATTGCTTCATCCCAGTTCTTTACCAAGTCGCTAAGAGCAGGTTGCTTGTCCTGTGTCCCCAGTCTTATACCTATTCTTCCTTCCATGTTCCTATCTGTGGGGGGGGGGAGGTAGTCCGATGCAGAGATGACCTGCCCGGGGGGCTACCTCAGTGGCCCCTCCATCCCAACACAGATAACAGAGAATGGACCTCTCGCAGCTTGATAGCCCCTCCCTGTCCCAGATAGGATTTCTGGGCTCTTCTCAACAGAACTTGGAACTGGTTGCATACATGTGCTGGTGGGGCAGAGACTCCATCTTTCAAATACATCTCCTAAAGATGCCCAGATCCTGGGGGTGGCTTGTGCTCAAAGGACTCAGGAGTAGGACATGATGACATTTCTCTCTAACCCAACAGTTCTGGCACTTCTGGGCAGGAGGCTCATAGAAGTTTGTTCTGTCCTGTTTCAGCCCGAGGGGTGGCCGAAAGAACGCCTAGCTTCATGTATCCGCAGGGCACCTCGAGCAGCAAGATGGTGCTTCGTGGCATGGACCTGCTGCTGGACTGCATTGCCTCTGGGGTGTACGTACCGTCTGCACCATCTTCTAGCCCTGCTGCTGGAGGAGGGGTGGGCATCAGTCCGCACATTTGCAGGCACACCAGTATGCAGGGAGAGGGAAGCAAGCAGCCCCGTGAACAGAACACTGCATGTCTGTCATCCGCACCCCACTATGGCTGTCCGTGTTTTGGGGGAAGAGCAAAGGCAAGGGCTGAGCATATTGATCACATGGAATATTAGCTCTGTCTTTCTGTGGAGACCCTGTAGTCAAACAGTTTCCTCTGTTTAGCAAAGCCCAGCTTTTAGAGGGTATGTACCTCCCTCGTGGGCCCAAGTTTACTTTTAGAGTATCTGGGTATCGGGCTCTTTCAAAGACAAGAGCTACATTCAGTAACAAGCTCTTCGCTTCCTCCCTGGTCCCCTGACTAGCCCAACACCAGACATTGCATGGTACAAGAAAGGTGGGGACCTCCCGTCTGACAAGACCAAGTTTGAGAACTTTAACAAGGCCCTGCGCATCACCAATGTCTCTGAAGAAGACTCCGGGGAATACTTCTGCCTGGCCTCCAACAAGATGGGCAGCATCCGGCACACGATCTCGGTGAGAGTAAAGGGTACGTTGTGTGTATTTCTCATTATGATTATGTTGCCGGCCCTGAACACAAATAAGACCACCTTCCCCGTGTGGCGAGGAGGCAGAGGGAGTGGGGAATGTCCTGTGTGACATGGTGGTGTCACCGTGGATCGTGTGACTATATGCACTCATGGGCGTGTTCTCTGAGGAAAGGACACTCACCGTACCGTTTGCCCAGCTCCGGGCTCTCTCTGCAAGTGACATTCCTCCCAGAGCCTTCTCTTTCATTTTGCATTCCCATCTGTGGTGTGTTGTCTTAGCCTGTGCTGTCTGTGTTGTATGCATGGTGCTGCTTCTTCTAAAGGATGGAAATCATCATGGACCAAGCTATTGTTAAGTCACTTCCGTCCCCTCAAAGCAGACGTGGCCCACCTGAGCCGTTGTGACACTAGAGTTCCTGTCACTGTGGGTCCTGGCTATAGGATGGGCTGTGTGAATCGCTTCTCAGCCCAGGGCTCCTTGCAGACTGGGAGGTCGAGGGCTGAAGGCTGAGAACAAGAACAAGCATACAGTTGACTGATCGGATGCCCTTGCCTTCAGCACGATACACACATGTGTGGGTTCTGATCCTTTTTGGTGACTATCAAGATTTTTGAGACTTTGATCCATAAGTTTCTTTTCTCTGAAAAAATCCATGCGTTTGTAAAATTGTCCAAATAATGGGAAGGGGTGAGTGGCCAAGAACTGCTCTTACCTAAAGTTCAGTGCCTAAAAGAAAACAGTTCAGATCTTTCTTAGACCTCTGTTCTTATAACAAGGGAACCCTAAGGGGAGCAACCAAGGGCTCCGGCAATGCCTATGACCTCTCTGAGTTTCAGCCACTTGGTCCCTTGGCAGCTCGGATGCGGTAGGTGTAGATGAGCCCCGGCATCCCTGTATTTTAAAAGCCAGATGGGGAATTCTAACAAGTCAAGTCTGCTCCGTGGGCTCGGCTAACTAGCCACCTGCAGGCTGGGTTGAGCCATCACCCCAAGGGTGAAAGATTGGGGCTGGGATGTGGGGGGTCACCCTCACACAGGAACCCACCTGGCTTCTCGTGCCTAGCCTGTGCCATCTACCTCTGCCTGCCTTGTCTTTCAGCTGCTCCATACTGGCTGGATGAGCCCAAGAACCTGATCCTGGCTCCTGGGGAAGACGGGAGGCTGGTATGCCGAGCCAATGGGAACCCGAAGCCAACTGTCCAGTGGATGGTGAATGGGGAGCCTTTGCAATGTGAGTCCTCCTCCGCTTGTTCCTTCCACCCTCCAGAGGCTGTGTTGGTGGGTCGGATGTCCCCAGAGTGAGAGGAATGGATGGCTCATTGGTAGTACTTCCAGCAGCCTTCCTCTGCAGGTATCTCAGAGGTAAAGGAAGTCTTCCTTATTTTTCTGAGAGAACAGGAGGATACGTAGCCTAGAGCCCGTGGTTATGTCCCTCTGTTTAGGGATTTCTGCTCCTTTGTGGTTGTCTTAACCTTTGTTTTTTGCCCAGTAATTCTAGAGCCCAGTTTTGAGCCTGGGTACTACACTTCATCTCAGGTTTGGCTTCGAATGGTGGGTGGGGCTTAGAAGATAAAAATCCCATCTGTCATCAACCAGTGATGAATCTAAGTCTTCCTCCCTAGCAAGGGCCAGTGTAAAGACAGGGTCATGTGACAGTGTGAAGGCTGTAGCTGAACATGAGGAGGAACTTCCTCCTAAGTGTTTGGGGGAATTTGTCTGTCTTTTCACTGCACTTTTAGCAGTTTATTTACTTCAGCTTATTATTTTAAGCTTTTATGTTTTAATATTCTGCTCTTCACTACTTGCATTTATGCATTTTTCATTGTTAATATTTTATGTTTATTAAATCTTTTATGTTTCCACCTTTTCTTTTTTCTTGTACCTTTACTAGACTTTATCTTAGTTTTCAAATAAAGACGTGTGTGTGTGTGTGTGTGTGTGTGTGTGTGTGTGTGTATGTTTTTGTGCAGGTTCCCATATATGCCTGCAGATAAAGGCCAGAGGACAACTTTGAGTGTTCTTCATCAGGAGTCGTTATCTTGTTATTTTGAGACAAGGTCTTTCGCTGGCCAGAATTGCCAAGTAGAGTAGACTAGCCAGCCGGGGAGCCCCAGAGGTGTGCCTGCCTCTGCCTTCACAGTGCTGGGATGTTAAACATGTTCTTCTCTACTCTGGCTTTTTTTAATGTGTACTCTGAGATCAAAGCAAGCAATTTACTAACCAAGCAATCTCCTCAGCCCCAAAGTCTTTTATGTTATGTTTTATTCCCGTCCTGACATCAATCTCGTTCTTTAGACGTTTTTGTCAGTGATCTTTAGTTATTCTTGTTTTTCCTCTTCCCTTTCACAGCATCCCGCTGCACCCCATTTCTTTCTAGTTTCTCCTGTCTACCCTTGCTTTCTGTATTTCCTTTTCCTTATGTCATGTATTTGCTATTTCTGTATGTACTCAACTAATTTTCAATTTCATAGCACATGTTACATTATTTTACCATTTTCTGTTTGACCGTTGTTGGGGATGTATCCGTGGGCTTTTAGTCAATGTTAAGTATATTTCTATACCAGGTGCTGGCTTGGTGTTGTTGCTCCCACAGCAGCTTGTTATCTCCTCTCTGAATGGTACTGGGAATTGTCCCTGAAAAGCTCAATACGAGCAGGGCGGTGGTGGCACACACCTTTAGTCCCAGCACTGGGGAGGCAGAGGCAGGCGAATCTCTGAGTTTAAGGCCAGCCCGGTCTACAGAGCAAGTTCCATAAAAAGTCATGGTTGCACAGAGAAACCCTGTCTTGAAAAACCAAAACAAACAAACAAGCTCAATAGGAAGATGCCCAAATGGGCCTGGAGGAGCTATCAAAGACCAAAGCTGACAGATGCGTAAACCGTGGCTCAGACATGAGAAACAAAAAACAATCAAAGCAAAACAAAAACCATGTCAGCCCGAGTCCTGCAGTAGATCTTGATTCCTCAGCTACTGAACTCAAAGACTTGAAATTAGTAGATGACAGGTGAAAAATTCAAATGTTTACATGTGAAACAATCCATGTCCTCAAGGGGAATTGACACAAGCAGCCGTGTGAAGTGAGGAGATCGGGTCAGCTCAAGAGACAGAGCCAGCAGGATGGATGAGAAAGTCAGAGACACAGGGAAGCCAGGACCATGGAAGAGCAAGGGAAGTGAGAGCGCATCAATCAAACAGAAATGCTGAATGAAAACTCAACAAATCAAGTAAAGTAGCACAGTGGAAATCATCAACAGACCGCACCAAGAGGAAGAAAGGCTACGAGGAATAGAAGGGAACGTCAAGGAAATCATCATCCTAAAATAAAAAAAATAAAAATAAATAAATAAATAAAAGCCTGACAACAACGATAACAACTTCCTAAAATCCTGAGAGCCTAAGAATCCAGGTGCAATAGAAAGAGCTGGGGGGGAAAACCCAACAACTAAGGTATAGAGAATATATTCAATGAAATTAAAAGCTGTAAAAGAAAAATACCAACTCACAAACACATGAAAGTAACATCAGACTTCAACACAAACCCTAAAAATGACCAGGAAAATGTAAGTTAATCTGTTTCCATCACTGAAAGTAAACTAACTGTCAACCAAAATTACTATATACATCAAATTATTTTTTAAAATTCATGGAGAGGAACTGGCAATGTCTCAGCCTGACAACCTGAATTTGATCACACATGGTAGAAGGAGGGTACCAATTCCTCCAAGTTTTCATCTGACCTCCAGGTACATACACAGCACATGCATACCCTCCCTCCACCCACGCTAAATAAATATAAAACATATTTACTAAAATAAATTCATAGAGACATAAGGACATTTCAAGACAAGCAACTCTTGACCACCAACCCCTTCTGCAGAAATGCTTAACGAAATCCTCAATATGAAGAATAAAGTCTCAACTAAAGAGAGCCCATAAAAGAATGTAACTTTATCAAATAGAATAGATGAATAATGGAAACTCAGAAAGGATCCATCATGTCCAACACAGTCAACTAGCAAACCCCTAATATGAATGGAGAAAAGAAAAAAAAGCAAACAATAATTCTGTAACCAGAAAAATAACCAACAATTTCAGGAGTTAGCAAACTTCTCATTAATAACACTAAATGCAAGTGGCCTGAACTCATCAATAAAAAGTCACAGACTAACTGGCTGGATTAAAGAAAGAAAAAAGATCCAACCCTTTTTTTTCTCATAAACAAAACAAAACACAGCCCACTGACAAAGACACACTTAGTGTGAAAGTGAAAGATAGGAATTTGCCAAACAACAGAAGCTGAAAACACGCTGGTATGGCTGTTCGCAAAGCTGTTAAAGCACACCACCTATCAGAATTGGTCAGGAAAAATACAGGATGCCCCTACATACTAGTTAAAGGGACAGTCCATCGAGAAGAGAGTATGATTATAAATATATGCATTGAGTGCTTGGACTTCCGATTTCATAGAACAAGCACCACGAGTATAAAGCAACAGTGGTGGGTGACCATAATATCCCATCTCATCAATAGGTAAGCCATTCAGACCTGAAGTCAGTAAAGAAACTTCAGAGTTAATCCACACTCAAGATCAAATGGACTTGGCAGGCATTTACAGAACATTCCTCTCAACAGTGCAAAAACATATTTATCTGTGCAGTCCATGAAACTTTCATTAAAGTCGATCACATTTAGATCATATTTTATGCTGTAAGAAAGTTTTAAAGTAATTGAAACAGCTTCTGTATCTTTTCAGAGTGCAGTGAAATATGACTAGAAATCAATAAAGAGAAAAAGAACAGGAGCTCACAAATGCACTCTTGAGGAGCAGTGGGTCATTGAAGAAATCTTGGAGAAAAAAATTAAATTCTGAGAATCAAATGAGAAAAAAAGCACAACTTATGAGAACCTTTGATCTATAACAAAGGCCATTCTAAGAAGAACATTCATAGCTATGACTCCTTTTCTGAAAGATCTCACCTAAATCACCCAAAGGTGAACTCAAGGTCTCGAGGAAAGAAGAACAATTCAAACCTCAAAGTGGTGGATGGAAAGGACTGGTAAAAAATCTGAGAAACAGAGAGTTGGTTCTTCAAAAAAATAAATGAGATTGACAAATTCTTATCCAAATGATCCAAGGAAAAAGAGGATACCAAAATTAATATAATTAGATATAAAAGGGGGACATTACAACAGGTTTCAATGAAATCTAGAAAATGTTTAGGAAAAACATATATATTTTGAAAAATCTCGAAGAAATGGATAAAGACTAGATGAATATGACCTACCTAAATTAAATCAAGAATGTATAAGTAAGTTAAACAGACCCCAAAGAAGCCACAAGATTGAAAGCCTGGACCAGGCAAGATTCACTGCTGCAGAATTTACCAGACCCTTAAGGAGTGCTAACGCCAGTGCTTCTCAAACTGTTCATGAGGTAAAAAAGGAAGGGATACTACCAGACTCATTAACTCTGATATCAAGCTTGAAAAGGACGGACACACAAACACACACGCACACACACACACACACACACACACACACAAAACGTTTTCCTGATAAACATAAATAGAAAAGTTATCAGTAAAACAGTTGCAAGCTAAATTCAAGAACACATTAAGAAGATCACACATCATGACCTAGTTGGTTTCCAGGGAGTGTGGAACATTGGTTCCACAAGTACAAATCAGTAGCTGTCATACATCAGATAAATAGACGTATGGGCAGAAGTCACGGGTCATCTCACCCAATGCAGAACAGGTCTTTGACAACGCCCAAGACTGCTTCATGATAAGCTTTCCTGAAGAACCTAGGAATAGAAAGAGCATACCTCTACATAGTAAAGTCTATGTTGCAACAAACCTATAAAACATTATATTGGATGGGAAAACTAAAAATATCTCTACTAAAATTAGAAATGAGTCAAGGTTGTCCCCTCTCCTATTCATGACAGTGCTTGAAGTCTCAACTAGAGCAATAAGACAAGACAGAAACAAGAGGGACATGTATGAGTTAGGGTTTCGTTGCTGTGACAAGACACCATGACCACAGCAACTCTTATAAAGGAAAAACATTTAATTGGGGTGGCTTGCATTTTCAGAGGTTTAGTCCATTATCATCATGGTGGGACATGGTAGTATGCAGGCAGACATGGAGAAGTAGCTAAGAGTCTTACATCTTGACTGCAGGCAACAGGAAGTGGTCTGTCTCACTGGGTGTGGCTTGAGCATATATAAGACCTCAAAGCCCGCCTCCATAGAGATACACTTCCTCCAACAGGGCCATATTCATTCCAACAAGGCCACACCTCCTAACAGCACCCCTCCCTTTGGGGGCTGTTTTCTTTCAAACCACCACAGGGCACAAATAGGAAAACAAGTTCCGATTGTGATAACACAAACCTTAGAAACCCTTAGATTTAATAGGTGCTTCTAGAAAGCAACAGGTTACTAATTCAGCATACAAAGCTCAGGAGCTTCCCTTCATACCAATAGCAAACTTGCTGAGAAGGAAAAGAAAACCAACAACAATAACAACAAAGAAACAATGAACAAAGAAAAACAAACAACAAAAGAAGCAAAAAAACAAAACGAAACCCAAAACAAACAAACAACAAAACAAAACCCCAGTGATAACTCTAACCAGGAAGGTGAGGGCTGCCAAACTCAGAACGCTGAAGAAAGTCATTAAAGACGACCCTAGCAATTGGGAGGATCTTTGGGGTAGTTCCGTGTCTTGTCTCTGCAGTGACCAGACAGAGGCAGTCTAAGGGAGATTTGCTAGGTTCACAGTTCCAACAGTCCACCTTAGCTGGGAGTTTGTGGCCATCTGAGCTGGAGGCAGCTGCGTTTCAGTCAACAGAGAGATGAATGATGGTGTCAGCTCTCTTTCTACTTTTTGTTCAGGCCATAACCCCAGCTGTGGAAGGATTCACAGTTAAGATTGGTCTTCCCAACCTCCACCCATCTATTCTGTATGCTCGCTCACGGGCATGCCTTAAGACTGTCGCCTATGGATTCTAGAACCTGTCAAGTGTATAACACTAACCATCTCAACTTCCCATGTTCATGGTTTGGCAAAATTAATACCATGAATACTAATACCAAAATCAATTACAAGTCTACTCAATCCTCACCTAAATCTTAATGACAGAATTGGAGGGGGGTCTTTAAAATCATGTGGGGGGAAAAAGATCCCAAATAGGAGAGGGAGGGACTAGAGACATCACTATACCTGATCTCAAACTATACTATGGAGTTATAGTAATAAAAAACGGCATGGTTCTGGAACAAAACATAAATAGACCAATGGATTAGCATACATGACCCTGATATAAGCTCTCAAACACAGCCACCTAATTTTTGACAAAGGTGGCAAAAACGTTCATTGGCAAGAAGACAGCCTCTTTAACAAATGGTGCTGAAGACACTCGGTGTCCACATGTAAAAGAATGATCCTAGATCCATCTCTTATACAAAATTCAGTGCAAAATAGTTCAAAGATCTTCATGTAAAGCCTAAAACTGTTAGAGGAAAACAGTGTTTTGTGTTTTTGAAGATGTAGCCATAGGCAAGGGCCTTCTGCAAAAGTTTTCAGCATCTCAGGAAATTGTTCCAGGAACTGACGGGTTGGATGTGTGTAGGATAAAAGCTTCTGCACAGTGTTGGGACAACCAGCAGAGTAGAGAGACAACCACAGAATGGGGGGGACAGGCAGAGTGGAGAGACAGCCTGCAGAATGGGGGGGGGCGGGGGAACAGGCAGAATGGGAGACAGCCTGCAGAATGGGGCTGGGGACCAACAGAGTGGAGAGACAGCCACAGAAAGGGGGAAGTGTCCGCCAACTGTACATCTAACAACATTAATATCTAAACTCTATGAAGAACTCCAAGATTTAACACCAGGAAAACAAGCCATCCAATAAACAAACAGGCAAACTAACTGAACAGGTAGTTCTCAACATAAATATGAATGCCCAACAAATACCTGGAAAACACATTTAACACCCCAGACATCAGGGAGAGGCAAATTAAAACAGCAATCGGAACGAGACAACAAACAGTGCGGGTTAGAATGTGAGGATGGAGGAACCCGCATATGCACTGCCGGTGGCATTGTCAGCGGGGCTGCCGCCGTGAAATCAGCTGTGGAAGTTCCTCACAAAACTAAAGTAGGTGCTGAGGGTGGTGCACGCACTCGGGAGGCAGAGGCAGGAGGATCTCTGTGAGTTGGGATACTGAGTGAGTTCCAAGCCAATTCAGGCTACATAATGAATCTTTGTCTACACACAACACACACACACACACACACACACACACACACACACACACACACACTGAGAACGGAGTTGTTGAGGTGACTCAGCAGGTGAAGGTACTTGTTGCACAAGCCTGAGTTCCATCCCTAGAACCCAGATAAAAATGGAAAGGGAGAACCAACTCCACAAAGTTGTCCTCTGATCACACATGTGGTGGCAGACCTGTCTCCACACACATCACAGATAAAGCAGCCTTCACCCCTTTCTAGCATTTTGTACTTGGCTGGTGAGGTGGCTCAGGAGATTCAGACACCGGCTGCCCAGCCCGAGAGCTTGAATATGAACCCTAAGGCTCACATGGTGGAAGGAGAGAACCAACTCCCAGAAGGTGCCCTCTGACCTCTACACCTGCGCTGTAGCACGTATACACCCAAGAAGATACGCACAAAATAAAATTCCTTGACAAAACTAGAAATAGAACTACCGTACAATCAAGCGATACCATTCCTGATCACATATGTACTCAAAGAAATCTGAGTCAGCACACCACGGAGATACTTGTAGACCTGTGCTTTCGCTACACTGTTCACAGTAGCCAGGAGACAGAAGCAGCCCCTTTGCACATCCACAGACGAGCAGACAGAGAATAACACAGTACAGAGACACAATGGTGTCTTATTCTGACATAAAGAATAAAACCAGCAGTTTTATTCCAGCTGTTCGCATCATGCTAAGTGAAATAAGTCATACTCACACAGGTGTTCCGTGTTTTCTCGTGTGTGGAATCTGGGCTTAAATATGAATATACATACATGCATATGTGAAAAACATAGGTAGAAGTCTGTAAAAGGGAGAAAGAGATTTAAAAGGAAGGGAGGGGAGATAAGAAAAGGCAATCGGAGGGGGAGAAAGAGAAAAATCTCATATAGTTGAATATAAACACAAGTCTGTGATATGAAAGCAGAAAGGAGGTTGTGGGGCTGGGAATAAGGGGAACAGGGGAGGTGGGAATGTAGTTGGGGGAATATAATCCAAGTTCATGATGTTTACAGAGAATATCATCCCGTAATTTTCATATGTTAAGTAGAAAAAATCATTTTAAAAGTAGTCAAGGAAAGGAGCAGGCGCATAATTGGAGACAGGTGAAGGGGAGGCAGCCGGCTAGATACTGTGTCTGTGCTCTTTAAACCCCAGAAGGTGAGGAAAGTAGGCTCTGGATTGCAGGAGGCCACCAGAGGTGGGGAGCTGTGGTCTGCATTGGATTGCAGAGGTCTAGAACAGTCTGTGGCAGTCCAAAGGGACTCATTATCCCACCATGAGCAGAGACAGAGCCACAGCCCTCTGACCACAGTCTTCCGTCCTTGTAGACTTTGGGGGCAGCAGGCAGTGGTGGTGCACTTGGTAGCTCTGTGCTGTAGCAGCAGCCCAGGGCTGGCAGCTGAGCCTTGGCGCTGAGGTCATCTGTCAGCCCCTGCAGGAAGCCTAAGAGAAGTGACTGGCAGGGAAATTGGGTTCAGGAAACTGGCCAGGCTAAGGAGGTGTTTAGGTTGGTGGTGCCAAGCTCCAGGTACCTTTTTGCTGAGTAGGTCCCAGGGTAGATGGATAGGACACTGACTATGCATGCCTTAATTTACCTTCTGCTGAGTCCCCAGATTCTCTATCTGTTGAGTGGTGCCGTATGGCCTGACTCCCGTTTGCCTTGCAGGTCTGAGCAATCCCAGTGAACACATGGCCTCAGCCAGCCAAGGCCAAGGCTCCCAAGTCCAGATATTTCCAGTGACTGCAAACGAGAGAAGTGGCTGTTCTTTACTTTTCTGGAACATTTTTGTTTTATAGCCCCTTTTCACTGTCTCTCCTCATTCTTCATTCTCAGAGGGAAGATGGGAATGATGCTCCCAGGTGTATTGATTTGTCCCAAGTCTCAGAATGACATCTGAGCAGGGCCTGCAGCTCCCCAAAGCCCGCAATACCAGGAGAAATATAGACAAGAATGGCCTCTCTTGTAGGCTACTTCAGTTGGCTTGAAGCTCTGATTGGTGGGCAGCTTTTTGTGAGTGAGGTTCTGCCCAGAGGATGGGAGAACAGTGTGTTTGGGCTATGTGGATGTTGCTGTATTTTTGTCAGTGTACATTGGGTAAAATCATAATGAATGAGTGTCTGGAATAATGACTTACTCATGTCTGTAATCCCAAGGATTGGGAGGCTAAGGCAGGAGATATGCCACGTGTTTAAGGCCAGTCTGGGCCACATGGTAAGTTCAAGGACAGCAAGAGCTACGTAATGAGACCCTGTCTTGGAAAATTAACTAACCAAATAAATCGAGTGAAAACAGTAACGATGCTGCTGGGCCTTCCACCGTTCACCTTGTACCTATATGGAAAGTCTCAGGATATTGTCATGAGATGGTGTTGGTTTGTCCCACAGACCAGGATCTGAAGCAGAAGGCGAATAATGCTGACTGATACAGTTCGATTCCTGTTTTCAAAGTTAGTCTTTCTATAGCTCATGTCTTCAGTCATAACTGCCCAGCTACTGCTTGGATAAAGCAAAGATTCCGATTCTGGCCAGATGATGGATTGAGAAACAAACTCCCAGAGGGCCCAGGTCACAGGGTCATGCAGTGCTGAATCTGAAAGCTGGGTCTACCTGGGTCCACCCAGCTGCCTCTTTCATAGTACCCTTAGCATGTTTGGGACCCTGTCCAGAGCCCTGCTTGCCCCTCACTCTACCTGGTTCCATTTCTTACGGAAAACCTCTTTTCCTTCCCTGTAGCGGCGCCACCCAACCCCAACCGTGAGGTGGCTGGAGACACAATCATCTTCCGGGACACTCAAATCAGCAGCAGGGCGGTGTACCAGTGCAATACATCCAATGAACATGGCTACCTACTGGCCAATGCCTTCGTCAGTGTGTTGGGTGAGCACACCCTCATAGCCGACTCTGCCTGCTGGCAGTGGGGTCTTCCCGGGGTGTAGTGATGCCACTGGGTACATTTTCTTCTCTGGAGCCCAGGCATGTTAGGTAGGCTTAGGCAGGCGTGGAGCATGGAGGTGGGGTTTGTGGGGAGAATGGAGGACTTGCACTCCACCAAGCCACGTGACCACAGGACCCATTCCATCAGAGAAGCTGGGTAGGAAGTGCTTCCAAGCGTGGTTGCTGCACTCCTTGAGCAAGGAGAGGGCCGTGGGAACCGGTAGATAGAAGGTGTCTCAGAGTTACAGGGAATCAGCTCCAGAACCTGTGGGATAATTTAAGAAACCCTTTGCAGAAAGCTAGTTTGGATGTGAGGCAGATGGATAAATACACCCTTTCCTCACCTAACCCTTCCAGCAAGGATGTCCCACCCTTTGACGTTGTAACGTGACTGTGGTCTACAAAGCATTTGTACTGATCCCGGGACACCTGAACCCCAGGGGCTGTAGTTTGGATAGTTTCCCTTAGACAAGGCTTGCCAAAGAAAGGGGGCGGGTATCCAGGTGTCTGGAAAGTCGCTGGAAGTTGGAAAGCATACTGTGGCGACACCAGGAAGGGGAAGGGTTGTGTGCTGCACCCATAATGGCAAATTGACCCTCTGGGCTTTCAGATGTGCCTCCTCGGATGCTGTCTCCCCGGAACCAGCTCATCAGGGTGATCCTTTACAATCGGACACGGTTGGACTGTCCGTTCTTCGGGTCTCCTATTCCAACACTGCGATGGTAAGTCCCAGAAGACCAGGTCTCCCCGGCAGAAGTCCTTTGTCGCTTTACTCCCATCTGCCCTAAAGGGATCCTTAAACAGTCAAAGATGGCCATCTGGGTGAACTCCCATATGGTTCAGTGAGGAGCTGTGTCTCTCCAGAGCCAGCTAGTGGTTATAGGCAGAGCCTGCAAAACTCAGGACTCCGTGTGTCTACCTCACGCTCCCCCACCCCCCACCCCACCATGGACTTTGCTGCTTCCTAGCTCCCTTGGGCCAGTCCTTTCTCAGTATACTGTGTTCGCTGCTCTATTGTGAGGTTTAAGAATGGGCAAGGAAGCAACCTGGATGGTGGTAACTACCACGTCTACGAAAACGGCAGTCTGGAAATCAAGATGATCCGCAAAGAGGACCAAGGCATCTACACCTGTGTGGCCACCAACATCCTGGGCAAAGCTGAAAATCAAGTCCGCCTAGAGGTCAAAGGTAAGCACGGGGGTTCACAGGTAGAAAGCGAGGCTCACGGGTATCCATAGGTGCAATTAGAGACGCCCCTGCCTGAGGTCTGGTGGACACCACGTCCTCTCAGTGGCTCTTGCTAACCTAAATGTGGGAACACTGCGGCGCCTTATCAACCTGATCTAGAAGCTCACCCACTTCCCCTCACTACCACGCACATGCTGGATTTCTTAGCCCGAGAACTCTTTGGGGATTTCAATTACCCCACCCACAGAACCTCCTCGCCATTCTTCCATCTGGTTGTACTGTGTTTGACACCTTAAGGTCAGGCATGTCACACTACATGGCCACATTGGGGCTGGTGGGCAGAAGAGGGATCCATGCCAGCTTTCCAATTGTCCTCACAGACCCCACCAGGATCTACAGGATGCCCGAGGACCAGGTGGTCAAGAGGGGCACGACGGTGCAGCTGGAGTGTCGCGTGAAGCATGACCCCTCCTTGAAGCTCACGGTCTCCTGGCTGAAGGACGATGAACCACTGTACATTGGGAACAGGTGTCTGCTCTCCATCTTAATTCCTGACGCACATTGAAGAGGACGTTTGCTCTTCCTTTCAGGGTTATGCGTGCCTCTAGGAGCTACTAGTGATGATGGCCTTGGTGGCCCTTTCCTGAGGCGCAGTCTCAGGAGCATTTCTTCTTCCTTCTTTTCTACCTGTCACTCTCTCCTTCACCCCCTCTCTCACTTTTCTTCCTCTCTTCTTTTATATCTCATTTTCCTCCCTACCCCCTCCATATGTCTCTCTTCTGCATTCCACATTCCAACCCTCTCAGCTCTGCTTGTAGTACCCTTCTTCCCCAGTAGAGGGCAGGTCTGACCCCAGCTACCACATCCAATGTAATGCCTAGTGGTTTTCAGCTCCTAGATCTTCTGGGTGCTTTCCTGGTGCCCCACCTACCTCTCCCACACCAGTTTGGGCTTTATTTGTGTAAGGGCGCTGATGGTATTGGAAGGTCCCCTGGGTGTTTTGTAATGGGCAGTTAGGATTGAGAGCCACGGATCCTTAGCCCCCTTCCTGGGACTCTCTTTACTGTCTCTCTTCTAGGCAGTAAGACATCATCCATTCCCAGTCTCACCCAGCTTCATGCAGGGTTGCGCCCTGCCTGAGCGCACAGGCATCCAGCACCCATTGGTACTGACAGTTCTACTACAATCTTGCATTTCTCTGGGATGCTCCTCCTTCTGGTGGACACAGATCAGAGGAGCCCAGGGACAGAACACCCAAACTGTAGGGGAAGAGAAACAACACCAGCCTGTCTTAGGTGTGTCGAGGTGATGGTACCCTAATTTGAGAAAGTCTCAGAGATGGGTGCAGTGTGGATGCTGAGTAGCATCCCCTCCGCTTTCTCTTCTCCTACATCCAGTCAGAGTGTTGAGATGGCGCCTCACACCCCTCCAAGGAGTCGTAGCTCTCCCCTGGCCCTCCCACCTCCTTTATCTTTATTCCCACTGTCCCCTTGCGGCAAGAGAGTAGCAGATATGCACCGTACGGGAGCCACCCTCCTGCTAACTCAGTCTGGCACCTTGCAGAATGAAGAAGGAAGATGACTCCCTGACCATCTTTGGTGTGGCAGAGCGGGACCAGGGCAGTTACACGTGCATGGCCAGCACCGAGCTGGACCAAGACCTTGCCAAGGCCTACCTCACTGTTCTAGGTAATGGCTGCCACCTACATCAGCACTAACCACCTTCTCCCTGCTTCCCAGCAGCCAGAGTGGCTGTGAGGGCTGGGTGGGCCCCAGGGCAATGCCCAGTAAGCGGCAGTCAGGGGTCATGACCTCCTCAGGTCTCTGGATTAGGAAGCTGCCACTCTCCAGTCAGCTGAGGAGGACAATTTGGGGTTCTGTTGCCTGAGTGAAGTTCTTGACCTCCCACCCCAGCTGAAAGGCGGCGGAGTGACTTCCACCTCTTCTGCTCTCTTAATAGCTCCTTCCACACCGCCACATTGACTAAAACCACTCCCAGCAATGCTGGAGCAAGATGTGTGTGTGTGTGTGTGTGTGTGTGTGTGTGTGTGTTATGTTATGTTTGTGGTCTATGTATGTATTTGGTGTCAGGGATGTGGTGTGCATGTGGTATTGTGTGTGATGTGTGTTGTATATGTAATGTGTGGTGTTTGTAATCTGTGTATGTGTTTGGTGTGTGGGGGTGTATGGTGTATGGAGTGTGTATGTGGTGTATATGTGGTGTGTATGTGGTATTGTGGTGTGCTATATAAGTGGTGTGTGGTGTGTGTGATGTGTGTGTGGTGTGGTATATGTGTATAGCATGTATGTGGTATGTGTGTATGTGTGTTAGCATGTATATGGTATGTGGTATGTGTATGCATGTATATGTGTGGTGTGCATATGTGAGTGTGTGGTATATGTGTGTGGTGTATATGTGGTATTGTGTGTGTGTTTGTGTGTGTGCGCATACGCCTATTTCCAGTACTTCCTCCAGCTTTCTTCTCCTCCCATGCTGCTCCCGGGTTTTAGTGGCCTTTCATATTGTGCCACACCCTGAACAAAATGACGCTATCCCTTCTTGTCCAGATGTCAAGGCTGGACTGCAAATACCAAATCACCCTAAATAGAAGAGAGGTGGCTATGCCTTCCCAGTAAAGCAGGTCCTCTGCTGTCGCCTTTGTCATCTTCTCTCTCTGAACTCCTGCAATGGAGGTCACAGCTCGCTGGCCATGAACGGCCCAGACGTGTCAATATATCTGGACAGGAAGACACCAGAGACACCACTCTTAGGCCATGAAAAAACCCAAGGAGTCACCTGGGGGGCGGGTCCGTCTGCGGAAGGGAGTGTAGCCAAGCTTGGGGTCCCCAGCACAGGGACAGCTGTGAAAGCCTCACCATCCATTGCCACCCTTCTAGAACCCTTTAACCCGCTAACCTGCTAACCTGGATAACCCGTCTTACTGTTGCAGCTGATCAGGCCGCTCCAACTAACCGTTTTGCTGACCTGCCCAAAGGTAATTTGTACTAATGGAGCTCTGGTGCCCAGGGGTGGAAACTTGGGGAGGAATGTGTCTCAGGAGACGACTGCACATTACAAACCGGTGGACAGCACTCCGCCTGCCCCACGTGACCCCCGGCCCTCAGGAATCCACAGCCACCTGCCTCCCCAGACCATATCACAACCCTGCCCTGGGCTCCTTCTGCGGGCTGGACTCTGAAGTCTGGACTGCAATTTATCTCCTTTCCTCTGGCTCCACTTAGCCCTCCCTTGAGGTTCCTGCTGTCTGCCCCTCGCTACACCTCAGAAGTGTCTAATGGCCAGTCAGGAAGGCTGCTTCCTCAGATTGTCCCCTACAGGCTTATCAATTTATAGACCGCCACACACCTACTGCTATTCATCCAGGTCCTCCATCCCCCAACACAAACATGCACACACGCACACACGCACACCATTAATGTGAACTTAAGTGACTCACTGTCTAGGTCCTCCCAAACCACCCAAAATATAATAGCTGGTTCAGGAAGGTAAGATGTGGGGGAACTTTGTCTACCTGTATTCTGTGGCTGAATGACTCCATTCCAAAGCCAGGAGAGTAGAAACCACCCTCACACCAAAGGCACTTTCCTTAATCCTGTGTGGATGCCTCTGGGCCCCCTCTATTCCACTCCCTCACTGAATCCAAACTAAGTCTCCTCCTGATGTGCCTGGTCTTCCTCTATACCCTCCCCACCGTCCTCATCTGTCTGCCCTGCTCAGTACTGCAGCGCTCTCCTGGGCTCTGGTCCTGAGAGTCCTGGAAGCCAGAGAAACAAGTAGTAATCCTGAGAAATGAGATGCTTCATACCTCCCTGAAGTCTCTCTTATGGGAGCAACAGCCTTTCCCAAAGTGTGTGTTCTAAAGGAGCTGAAGAAACAGGAAGACTCGGCCCCTGTTCCCGCCGCCCCACCTGATGCTCCTTCTCTCCTTGTTCCGCAGTCTGTGGGATTCTTGATTCTTCTTTGTCTCCTGGAGGGAAGGGGTGGTCCCTGCACTGGCGCTCCAGAGTAGGTTGGGATTTGATCTGCTGGCAGTAGAGACCCAACTCCCTCAGGGACCTGTCCGGGATGAGCACCACCGACCCCAAGGAGAGGGACTGACTCTCGCTAGCACACTCAGAGTAACGTCTCTTCCCTCTGCTGCCAGGACGGCCAGACCGACCCAGGGACCTGGAGCTCACTGACCTGGCTGAGAGGAGTGTGAGGCTGACCTGGATCCCAGGAGATGACAACAACAGCCCCATCACAGGTCAGCCCATGGCCCTGTGGTGCAAAGCCAGAGAGAGCCTTGGACTAGGGCCCCTCCACGTCTGCTCCCACCCCTGCCTCAGGACACATGCACAGAGGCCCTGATTCCTTCCCATATCTTGGGAAGACTCTTCACGGGCCACTGTCTATCCTGGGGAGATGGTGGAGATAAACGGAAGCCGAGAAGGATGTGCTTCTAAAGCAGGGCTTTGTGACTCCCAGAACAGCCCTGTCCTCCTTGTCCACTCAGACTACGTCATCCAGTTTGAAGAGGACCAGTTTCAACCGGGGGTCTGGCATGACCACTCCAGGTTCCCGGGCAGTGTCAACTCCGCCGTCCTCCATCTGTCCCCCTATGTCAACTACCAGTTCCGAGTCATCGCTGTCAACGAGGTGGGGAGCAGCCACCCCAGCCTTCCGTCTGAGCGCTACAGAACCAGTGGGGCCCGTGAGTACTTGAGCTCCTGGTGCCCTGTGTGCACTAAACCCCTCCCAGCTCCAGCCACGGGAACTTAGGCAGGTCACTTGCCTGTCCTCACCTTACACTAACACAGACTTCTCAGGGCGATAGTGAGGACACCTGCTTGAAAAAGCCAGGGAGAAAACTTAGGGAGTGGCACTGGCTGCTAAGTCTGGTGACCTGAGTTTGATCCCTGCTACTAAAGGGTGGGTGGAGATGACTGACTCCCAAAAGTTCTCCTCTGACCTTCACACATGCACTATGGTACATGTGAACTCACACATACACCACCAGATAGATAGAGAGATAGATGGATGGATGGATAGATAGATAGATAGATAGATAGATAGATAGATAGATAGATAGAT